ACTAATCTCAAATAAATACAAGCTATGTAGGAATGCAGCAATATCGGTCACCAATATCATATTTTAAATTTAAAAAAAACATGCTTTGAGTTTCTTCGGGAAGCTTACTTAATTTAACACTGAAAGCATGGGGCTTTTGACATAAACATTGTGGTAAATAAATCAAATTTTAAGTCATAAATAGTAATATATAAATGTGGCTGAAGGCGCATATAATCGAAGAAACAATATAAGAGGATAATAGCTATAGACCAACCTTTATTACTTCGCCTATATGATAGAACAGGGCCAAAGCAACCTCAGCTGTGGCAAAATGTTCATGCATAACAGTCTCTTTGGGGGAAGTTGTGGGTTGAGCAGCGGAGGATTCAAGTACAGACGAAATACTTGCTGCTTGAGCAACAAGCTGTCGGACTGCGGAGAGAACCAATGATGGATAGAGCTGGAGTAAGTTGCTTATAACGGTCCGCCACTCATGTCTAGTGTCCTCGAATTTCGTCTACAATTAAAAAAGCCGCTACCAAGTAAATTGTAGACTCAAATTGTATCTAAGTTAGTTTTATCTAGAGCAATGGCTTACATTATCTTTACGGGATTCAAAGCCCTGAGGATATTTCATTTTTTCAATTGCGAGTATTAGTAATCGTTCGATGAGCTTGCGAGGTCGAGAAGTGATATCAAGAAGTATCGTTGAAGATTGCATTCCTGAAAAACATTTAGTACTTTTAGATGAGGATATTTTACCCTCTGAAACAGCATAAATTCCCGATGTCGCTTGCGTATTGCCAGATGACAATGCCGAACCTTTGAATAAACCAATGTAATCAAGGATGAATTTAACTATTTGAGAATGGTCAGAAAAACAAAATGCTAGATCGACGTGATTTTCAAGTCGATCAAGAACTGAAGCTTTTGAATTATCAATCTCGGTTCCATTGTATACCACTTGTGATTGAATGTTGGAATCAGTGCACAGAGATCTGAAAGTGTAGAAGTAGGAATGGAATAAGAGCTAAAAATAGTTACTGGGTGCAAACGAACAATGACTGACTTATATACTCCGATGAGCTGATGTCCGATTTCAGCAATAAAATCGCAGAATTTGGAGATATAATCTGAGATATCCTGATTTTCTAGATCATCTAACAT